CTCGGATGATCCAATAGTTGCACAAGGAACTCAGAACGCATTGGCTTGGACTGTACCTGCAATATAAAAAAATGTTACTGCCAAACAATAGTACAACTTGTACCTTACATATTTTACACATACAGATAAATAATAATGATAACATTACTTACACAAAATTTCTCATTGAAGTTAGTGCCATTCCAGAACTGCATGTACCTCATAACCATCACACCACAAGTATTCCTGATATGCAAACAGTATTTAAGTGATGTACTCAGCAAGGGATAGTATTAGATTTAAGATACGATGAAAGAAAAAATAATTATGCACTTGTATTGAAATATATGTTTACATACGGATCATCCTGCCAAGGGATTTTATGGTCTGTCTTTGTTATGTAAGCTGGCCAGTTCTCTTCCCCCAGGGCAACCGTAACAAACTCATTCTGTCATACACATCAACCTGAAGTAAGTATGCATTTTTCATAAACTAAACTTTAACAAATCGGGTTGATTTCATTAGATAGATGTCTACCACACAATCCCCAAATGTTTTATATCTGTGCGGTCGTCTGATCCACATAGGTAGTCCACTACTTTGTTGGGCCGGTTGACAACGAGTAGAAACCAATGTTTGTTAATGATTCCAGGGAAGAATAACTATACGGTAATGAACATAAAGTTAGGGACAACAAAACATATTGGACAATGATGAGCGCTAAAAAGTGCACTTTTTAACCCCTGAAGCTTGAGTATTCTAGGACCTTTATCTATCTTATTTTCCTATTTTAGTACTTATTTGTGTTTTTGTCTATTTAAGGTCAATAATGTTAAAATGGGCTAAAAATGGTTTCTTAAGGCCTTTTTAGAGTCAAACTAAGTCTTGGTGAGGATCCGGAGCAAAAAGGAAACAATTCTAAGATGAATCAAAAAGAGGAGCAAAAGAGGAGCAAAAAGAAGCAAAAGGCGGAATTCAACAATTTTCGATCGATCCAAGATCAAAGTTCGATCGATCCAACACGGATTGATCTTAGCACTTCAAGATAAATCTAAACCCTGACCCTATGCAGAAGTTCCAAAGTTCGATCGATCCAACATTATCCTTCGATCGATCGAACACCTTTGTCCTTATCCAAATGATTGATCTTATCCAGTTATACCACCCTACCAACCACTTTTGTCCTTTTCCCAAAAATATTTCCTAAAATATCTCAGACTTGTCCTTATCCAAAAAGCATAGCCCAGTTGGATCGATCCAACCTCAGTTTGATAGATCTCAGCCAAGTTCGATCGATGCAAGTCCAAGGTTCGATCGATCGAACTTCCTCCAGTGCGAAAAAGTTAAATCTCCAGCTCATTAAAAGTTATCCTTATCCAATCATTGAGAGAATATTGGAGTGCGTGCTAGATCATTTTTGGGGCTATATTCCTCACTTCATGACTAAAAAAATGACCATATATATAAAGGGAAGTGACTCATTTTGTAAAAAGCTTATCATCATTTTATTTTTACATTGTAAACATTTTCTTTTTCTCTCTAGAAAGTTAGAGATTAGGGTTAGAAGAAAAGGGGAAAGTGGAGGCTCATCTCAAGAACACATCTCTAGATCCACTCTCTCTCTCTATCTCTAAAGCTTCAAAGAAGAAGAGGAAGAAGAAGATGGAGTCATATTTGGAGCTTGATTCCATGACCACATCCACCTCCTCCATGATTGGCTAGTTCTACACTTAGGGCTTGGATGAGCCCTAAGTCTTGTGTAATCTAAACCCTTGTATTTCTATTTTTGGGGATTTTATATATATATTGTTGCGATTAATGTTCTAGCCTTGTGAATTTCATGAATCTTGATATATTTCCATGATTTATGTGGTTTAATGCTTCCAATTGATCATTTCCCCTCTATCCATATGTCTATGTATGCTAGAGTAGATGTTCATTTGCTTGTCTTTATTTCTTGTGTTGTTGATGCGTGTCTATGTGTATTGATGTTATAGATCTAGAGATTATCAAAACATAGTGCTTAATGGAATGCTCTTGCTATTTTCTTGATGGTTCATACTTATGTTGGATGCTCTATGCTATTGAATGCAAGTAGCACATGTCTCTAACCTTGAGGTGTATTTGGATTGTGAGCTTAATGAAATGATTAATGACTTGTTTTGATCTATTGTGTCTTTCATATGTTGTTTAGACAATATATGCTTCATTGATTAGATATATTGTGCCTTTCACATGTTGCTTAGACATTAGATACTTAATTGGTCATCCTTACTTATTGAATCAACCAAATACACACACACACACACACCAATATTGGCTAGACATGGTTCTTTATTGAATGGGTTTGTCAATTAATTTGATGGTCTATACTTGTGCTTGATGGGTTGTTCTACAATTTAATTCATGCTTGTAGGTAGGTAGACAATCTATGCTTATTTAGATATTCCATGGCTTATTATTGCAAATTCCATGATTCTCTAGATTGATGTATGCTACAATTGTGACTAGTTTGATGGGTCATGCTTAAACTAGATGGGTTGTGCTACAATTAGTTTAGGTAAGACAATTCATGCTTTAATTAGATGGTCCATGCTTAATATTGCAATTGGTAGTCGCATTTTGTTCACAACAATGTATTCCCCATTAATAGAAAGCAAGCGGTTAATTACACAAGCTTAGTGGTGATTCCAACACCCTAAGTCCTTTCTTCTCATCTCTTAAATTCCTATCTCTACTTAGTTTTATTTTAATTTCATTTTAATTAATTATTTTCTAGATTAATCAACCAATCTCTCTCTTTGCAATCATTTGGTACATTAGAGTCGAAGTTAAATTCCAACACGTATAATCCCTTGGGACGATCCCTACTCACTCTTGCTACGTTAGTAGTAGTGTTGGTAGTGGTTTTTATAAATTTAAATTTGACCCAAAAGGCTTTTCTTGAACTACACATTCACTACATCAATTTGGCGTTCACGAGCGGCACCCGTCGGACAAAAATAGGACGATTCATTAATTCATACTTAAAACATCTTCTACATTACTGTAATGCACAACAAATTACTGTAAAATCATAAAACTAACCAGCTCGGAATCCTTGAACACCGTCGAATTTTGAAGCTTACATACTCGTTTGTATTGTTCCCATACTTTTTTTATCAAAGGCATGCGCTCCTCTGCAGTGTCATATTTAATAGCATTGTGTTGATTCATACACTGGACAACGCAACTATCAAAATAGTAGTGTCACAGCTTCGCTCCTTGTTCTTCGTTCAACAGCATTGCCCAGAATTTGACCATCTAAATTCAGAAATGAAACTGTCATAGGTTCATCATATCATAACCGTAAAAATACATATCAAAGAATTGAAAAAGCATGCACCAAGTTTGAGATCCAGTTCGGGTGAAACAACTCGTGTATGTTCGTTCGAGTAAGATGCATATCGTACATGGAAACCAGAATTTCACTGCAAAATGTACATCATTCTTACAAATTAGTATACGTTTTGTAATATAATTGGTCTTAGTAAATAATAAGGCCCAAAGGACAATACAATGAACAACAATATATGGATTTAGGAAATTCAGAAATGTGGGTTACACTTACCTTTTATCTTGATCACCACCTCGCACAGCAGCATAACTCAATAATTTCTTCTGCTTTGGAGTCAATTGAATTTTCTTAGTATCCCTCGATACCCATGGAGAGAACATGTATGCTGCAGGGTTTCTGCTCCTGCTACCTCTTCTGACTTCTCTCACTGCATCCTTCCCTTTATTATGTAAAGTTTCGGACGAAATATCAATGACTGGACAACTGGGAGTTATATGTGCTACTCCTACGTTCTCCTCCAAAGCCATGCCCACAGCATCATTCAACTCTGTCCTCTCATCCTCATTCAGTATGTCATTGCTGCTGGGAGTAAAGTGGGCATGATCTGTACCACAAAATTCTGGTGCCTCACCTGCGTCAATAGGAGCGTCAAATGTTTCCCTCTCATCTTTATTTTCAGAACTTTGTACCACATCTTTGTCCTCAACGGACACTCCCTCATCTGCTGTACAAACACTCGGTTTTCCTCAGGCCCCTTTCGACTTTTTCTTCACCAATCTCTCCATTTTCTCCACCTTCCTCTTCAACGTTTTCCTGTTTTCTACTTATCTTTCCATTTCGTTGCGAATTTCTTTAACGCAACGTTGTATACAAAATTTTAAGGATTAAACACTAATCAATTGAATATTCACAATTTCATTCATACTCATTAACCGTAAAGTAATATATCGTTACCTCAACCTCACTTTCCGAACAACTACCATTATCTTTTTCATCTCCATACCACGACGATGACGGACAGTGGGACACATTCACCTTGAGAGGAATTAACTGTTCCATATAAATATTTCGAACCAAATGTACGTAAGCAAGGAAATGGTGTCATATACAACATAAATTGGGAACTTTCAAATACTTGTAAAATTTAGTGTCATACCTCACCCATTCTAAAACCTCCTATTTTCAACTCCCATTTATAGCGTTCCCATACTAGGGTTGTGTCCCAAAACTGAAGACTGCTTATTTCGCCCGTGCTGGGATAACAGGGGTATTCCATTTTACACCTCATCAGATAAAGAAACTGATTTAAAAAGTACCGACTTTAATCAGTAATGATTCATAGTAATGACATAAATTATAAAGTTAATTGTAAATTATAAGTAGTTTATGTTATTTACCTACAAGAAGAGCACGCATCCGATATACTTGTGCTTCATTTTTCCACCTCCTTCAGATTCACCCAAGTGAGCCACCAAAGTTTCAAGCACGTAGGTACACCAGTTGTATGACTTGATTTCATTGACATTATCCACTGCCTTTAATTCTTTCACATGCGCACTATAACGCCCATTGGGTGTTAGAAAAGCCGCCCATGCAAAAAAAACAAAAGCTCTTTTGAAATCATCACCAGGCTCACATTGTTGTACCCTTTCCATCAGATCATTTACATGCAGCCCACTTCGATATGCACCTTACAGTTAAGAAGCGCCTACCAGTGACGGAGCAAGTGGTGATTGGCACGCCTGGAACTATAAAAAAAAGGTTGGAGGCAAAAAAATTGGGCATGAGTTATATGAAGATTCTTGTTTTTGATGAGGCTGACCACATGTTGGCTAAGGTACATATTTTCTTAAAATTATATTTTATTATTTGTAATGCTTATAATGAAATTCAAATCTTTTGGGGGCCTTTTGAGAAAGTATGTTACGACTTTCTCAACTCAACTAGTGTGTACGACATCTTTTTTGTTGGGAAGTCGAGTTCTAATAAATTTGGACTTTACATAAGTCATGCACAATGTCTATTGGTGTGGATTGTGGACTCTCTAATAAGATTTTGCATTATTTAGCTGTTAATATGTCTACCTCATAGAATCGTAAATGCTGAGTTCTAAGCACTGATTCATTACGAAAACGATTATCAATATGTCATGACATCCGAGAAAGACTGAAACCATAGAAATTTAAGAGAGTGTATTTTTTTTTTTTTTCCAATTGTCCAGATGCATGATCACATATGTATCCATTTGGTGATGTTCCTGGAATTCTTAACTTCCATCTTGTCTTCATCTTTTGCCAATTTTTGCCATATTATGTAAATATGTAAGATTTAATGTAATGAACTTGACATTTTCCTTCCCTTTTTTCCGTTTTTACGGATTTTCTTTTTCCGTTGACGTTTCTTTTCTGAGTTCGGGTTTTGTCCCTTCGGGTCGTCTTGAGTGCTTGGGAAAAGTTTCCGACACTTTTTCTTTTAGAGATTGGTATCAACCTTGTGATGACGATGCCATCTCCTTTCCATTTACGACGTCTTCTTTTTCCTTTATTAGTACTTGTTTGTTTATCGTATCCCATCCCGTGACCTTAGGATTTGTGCTCGGATTTGACTTCCGACTTCACGTGCGTTCACCCTATTTGATTTCCATGAAATGCGTATCTTTACTTTTGTAGAAAAGCATGCTAGATGTTTATTTATTTATTTATTTATTTTTTCTGTAGGGGTATGGATGCATAATTTTTTCGGAACCATTTTCTTTTCTTGGGGTGTTTTTCGAAATTATCCGTTGTAATTATTTTTCGTCTTAGGGACTTTTGTGCAATTATTCCTTGAGATATTTAGTGGGGGGACCTTTTTGCAATTTTTGAAAAGTGTCACACTCTCATTAGTTCAATTGTCATCATTCCATTGGTGACACTTGGAAGCCTTGGATGATGACATGTGGAGGGTGAGGATTCACCCACTTGTTGGCCTAGGATTGATGCACTTGTTGGCTTTGGATGTTGACAAATGTAGGGCTTAGATAAAACCTTGTGAGGAGGGTGACAAGTGTAGGCTTAGGATGTGATCTTGTGAGGGTGTGTGAGGTATTGACAAGTGGTGGGGTGAGATAAGTTGTGTGTGTGAGAGAGGTAGTGCTAGCTCACATAGTGAGTGGAGGAATACACTAAATTCATTTTAGGTATTCATCTCTTTCTCTCTCTCTCTCCCACCTTGCCTCCATTATAGAGCACCTTAGACCTAAACCTTTAGCCTTGGTTTTGAACCATTTCCTCTCACCTTTTGGCTTAAGTCTTGGAAGACAAAACCTTCCCCTCATCCTCCTCTATAATACTCTTGTCCGGTTTCTTGATTTACCTTGATTTGTTTTGGATTCTAGAGATTCAATTCTCTAGTGAGGTAGGGGATGTCCTATGTTTGTACCCTTAGTGTTTTAATGCTTATTTTGGGGTTGAATATATGTTGTATGCATGCTTTACTTCTAGAACTTGCATATAGGTTGCTTTAGTATATGATGAACTTAGGGTTTTATGATGAATATAGCTTGTATACAACCTATATATTGTGTATGTGTTGATTCCTTTGGGGTAATCTTAAATCTAGAAACTTTCATGTATGGTGGTTACTTAAATCTAGTGATTCCTATGTAGATAGATTACTTGATTTATGTATAAAGCATGCCTATAAATTTTGTATATATTCTATGCTATGTTGATGTTGAGATAAGGACTTGAACTTGCTATGTAATGAGGGTAATGTATTTCATAAGTTGACATGTTATTGTAGCCACTACAGCTTTTGGAGCATAGTGGTCATTATTCCATTCAGGAGTTCATTTGATTTTAAGTTGTGTATGCACGGCATACATAACAAGTTTGAAGGATGGACGCAATCGGAATGTTGAAAATAGTGGACACTGGACATCGCGTCTTGTCATACCCCTAGTTTTCAAAATGATAAAATGGGAATTTAATTTTGATTATCTAAGTGACTTATGTACTTATTTGACTAGTTGTGTTTATTGTATTTGTTTAAATTGATTGCTTGATTAATTGTGTGTTTAAATTAATATTGTTTAAGTGTGTTTTATTTTGTTTTTCATTTGACTTGAAATTTTATGTGTGTTCTGTGTGGTTTTTAGTCATAATTATTTATTTATTTTCCTTAATTATGTTTAAGGGTAATTAATTAATTAGTTAGTTAATTTTATTCCAGATATATGTATAATGAATGTAACTGTTGTGGTCACTTGTTTATTACCATGTTGGGTGATAATTAGGTTTAGGGTGTTATGATTAAGTAATTAGGTAGCCGACTTGTAGTTGGGCTAGACTTAGGGTTAGGACTACTGGATTTGGGATTAGGGTTTCAGAGGAGTCTGTATATATATAACGATATATGTTGCAAGGGTTTTTGGGAGAAAACCCTATTCACGTAGGGGTAATTTAAGAGGAGAAACAGAGATACATAGAGAGGGTTGTATACACTTCAATGTGTATAGTCTTATGTAGTCTGCAAGGGTTAAAATAAAACATTATTCACGTAGTATTAATCTATGAAGCTAAGGAGGAAGAACAGAGGAATGGAACAATGGTCAGAGGTGGGAGCAGTATAAGAGAATTCTGAAACTTAGAGACGATGCGGCTGTAAGGTTTCAAAACGAAATCTAAAGGCAAGTTTCATTCTCTCCTTCCTGTAAACTTGTGTTCTGTGCATTCTAAATAGACTCCAGGAATTTAATTAAAACTTTTAATACAAATTTTATGCATATTAGTTTAGTCTGAAATTTGGTTAACGTATAATAACTGAAGATGGCTTTCCTTGCATAAATTGTTAGATTATGTATTAAACCTCTGTAAATTGATTCATAATGAAATGTGAGGTGTTGTTTGGATGGTTAGGAAGTTAATTAACCTTTATAATGGAATTTTGACACATGTGATCAGACTTTAGATTGTTCATATGTTCAGTTAACTGTGATTGGCGTTTTTTGATACAGTTTTGTTTTTGTTTTAGATTTTTGTCAATTAATGCATGCTGGATGGTGAGAAGTTTCTAGGGCTTTAAGAATTTAAATTGAACCCTAGGAATGTTAAAATACTTGGGACAGGAACGTCGGACTTCGCCGGAAACGCAGAAAAATCATCGGACGAAGTAGAGACGAGGCAGAGGGGCTCTCAGGGGTGAGAGCCGGCTCCCATGAAGAGAGAGCCGGCTTTCCATGAGGGAGAGCCGGCTCTAGAAGCCTAGGAGCCGGCCCCAATAAAGGGGAGCCGGCTCCCATGGGGAGAAAAACCCCTACGGGGTGTTTTCTGCAATTTTTCCGGAGTTCTGGGGTTAAACGCAAATACTGAAAATTAAAGGGGGTTTCAAATATGTTAAAATTAACCTATTAAGACCCTTAAATAGTTGGTTTATGCTAGGGTGCTAATCTTAAGGGGCATCAGGAAACAGAAACGTGGAATAGGCATGCTGTCAAGGAAGGATGAATGTTTAAGTTAATAAGTTTGTTTTAATAACTTAAACTGACTGGTATCGAATTACTTTTGGGATGTTATATAAATTATTTATATACTTTAATGGAGGCCAGAAAGTTCGGTGTAGGATATGGGCATAGACAGTATTAACTTAGATATTAAATGGTATGCTGTCAGGAGTGGTAGGAATTTTAGTTGCTAGTTTTGGTTTAGTGAACTAAATGGACTAGTATGGGAATACTGTTGGGGTTTCATATAATGAGCAGTTTGGAATTCAGAGTGTCATATTATATCAGGCACAGGTTTTGGAGTGGAGGATCAAAGGGACGTCATGTGGTGTAAATGCTAACTTTCATGCTGTTAAGGATTTGTGGAGGATTTCATTACTTGTCTTTGTTTTGGCAATTTAAATAATATGGTATGAGAGGATGGTTTGGGATATCTAGTATAATGTATTTAGTTCATATTTCTGGCTGATCATTATAACAGGTTATGGATGTTAATTGATGAACTGTTTAACTTCTGTTTTATCAATTGTATGGATGTGGATAATATAAATTGTTTATCAATACTTTAACAATTTATTTGGAGGATTAATGATTATAATCATATACTGGATGCATAATAGGATCTTAATAATATCTGTTTTCTATTATGCTGGTTTCTGGATTTATTTGATGTTCTAATGAATGTGCATCGTTTATGGATCATTTGCATTATATGTACCGGTATGGGACGGTGACATATCAGGGATGGATTAGATCAAAAAGCTAAGTCCTACCCCTTTTTACATACGGAATGGATTAACTAAAATAGTTAACTCCTACATGGATACATGTCCTGTCAACTAAAATAGTTGAACGACATAATGGATGCTTGTTTTATCTTTCGGTATTAGGAAGGAATTTATATATATATTTATGGTACTGTGATACGAGCTTGAGTCTCCTGATCACGGTTAGGGTGCGTATATCGCAAAGGTTGAGTAGCTAGATATAGCAAATGTTCCCTGGTAGGTCTAGGTACTTGGCCGCTGAAAAGCGTGTTTTATATGTCACCTTCTACCCAGGCTGAACTATGTTATAGGCTAGTGAGCATCCTATAGTGTGTATTTATATATCTATGGACTATTGTAGATATTGCCGAGCTATCTAGGATGTATCTGCATATCGGGTTTATGTACGGATTGTAGTAGGATGGAACTTGCATGTGGGCCTGACCCACCTTTATTTTTTTCAGGTGTTCGTGAGTACCAGGCTTAGGGTTTGATCGTGGTAATGCAGATACAGTCACTCACTCTTCAGACTCCATAGGATTTTCTTTCTTATTTTGGTTTTGGATTTTAAATTCTGTAAATGTTTTACCAGTTGGAAATATTAGGGGTCCACTAGATGGATTCCCGAGTTGTACGGATTGGAAATTTTATTTATATTAAAACTTTTAATTTGGAGGTTTTACAATTAGAATTCTTTTCAGCGTATAATTATTTTATTCTTAATTCAGTTTTATTCCTGCTTGTTTATATATTAATTGTCTGGTATCCCTCGGATCTGTGCTCGGACTTGATCACCCGTGGCTCTAGAATCGAGGGGTATCACACGTCTAGTGGGTGGAAGGTCCCATAGCACATTGGCCAATGGGGTGTGGAAGTGCACCAATTCTCTTTTGATATCCGGGATTTGATTCCGGTATCTCTTTTCACTACATTGCATCATGGAGTACATGTGTGAGTTGCATCATAGTGGAGTCTGTGTGCAAATTATTTGGTAACTCGTGGAGTGATGTTTGCCTTGTTATCCTTTTACCTTTGTGGTTATTGTTATCACAGTATATGCTCATCGTTTGCTTTTGCTTTCATTTACAAGTTGACAATACTTTTGAAGTTGTATCTTGTTGAGGTCATTTGTTGCAAATGATTTATAAAATGTTTCAATTATAGCTTTAAGGTATCCTTTAGCTTCCCTATTGAACTTAGATGTTAGGTAGCATGCTCCGTGTGGATTCGGTTTATATTAAACTTGCAAATTCATTAAAACTTTAGGTCATAGGCATATGTTTTTCTTGCAAGTAACTTATTTACTCACCCTAGTTGTTTGGGATATTTTTCAATTAAGGAGACTTGTTTTGAGATGCACAACATCCCTAGGTTGGCTTAGTAGTTTTGGGTACTCTTTGTGTAATTTTATATGCATGCAAGTGTTAGCATGTCAAGCTTTCTTATGAAATTGTAATATCAGGCTTAGTTTCAACATGCCGTTTTTACTTTGGAGTATGCAATGTGTACCTAAGTGCACCATTTGAGACTCTTTTTATATGTATTATATGCGGCCAATGGCAAACATCTTTTGATTTACATCTATGCACTTTGGTTTTGTATGTTAATTACAAAAACAATTTTATGAACTTGAGGTTTGACATATAATATTTTGCAAATGATATGCATCAAGGTTATAGGTCATTGGAACGCGTGTAAATATGTATATTACATTTGCGTGTACGCTCACTTTGCACACAACATCACATTTGCATGAAATGCATGTTTGTAGGTTCAAGTATTTTCGCATTTTTCACAAAATCTGAGCTTAAGGGCATTTTGGGTATTTCACTTGAAAAATAAGACTTGGTTTTGACATGGTTGATCAGAAAACATGATTTTAGGGGGTTACTTCACAACTTTTTTTTTTTCCAAAAAATGTCATTTAAGGCCTCAAAACCACATTTTAAAATATCATTTCTTGTGCAGCCCTGTGATCGCGCATTCACACTTTCTTTGATCGCATTGGATGCGATCGATCGCACTTGACCCTGCTACTTGGCATTTTTTTTTGTTTGTCTTCAAAACTTCGGGACTTCATATCTTGGCTGTCCAGAGTCCGAATCAAGTGATTCTTGAGTCAAACTTTATTAATTTTTCGTTGTCTTTACAATGGTGTGTTCAGTAGCTCCCACTTCTATTTTAAAAAGACCATTTTACCCCTAGGGTTGTACTTAACCGTTTTCAAAACTTTGCTTCTGCTTTTGTTTTTCTTTTAAGTTCCACGGCTTCATAGGAAGCCACTTTTGTGTCTTAGAGATGATGCGCATCTCTAGAGACCTTGGTTTAACCTTTTGCATCCGCATTCGAGGTCTCGGTTGGGTGAAATGACTGTTTTACCCTTAGCCCTTTTCTTGTAGGGTTTTGAAACCCTTGCATCCGTTTTGCTTCTGTTGTGTCTCGGGACTCCTCGGGAAGTCTCCTTTGTGTCTCAGGGATGACATACATCTCTAGATTCCTTGTTTCTCCCTTTTGCTTTCGCATTTCGAATCCGTTATCAGGTCAACCTTCGGGTCATCACAGGATCCACTGGGTTGAAAAATCCAGGGCTGTCACATTTAAATAGTAGAAGCTTTAATTACTAATTTGTCCCAGGAGTTTAAAATTAATACATGGAGTTTATTGTATAATTTTTTCTTTATTAATGTTATCTAGATAGTGTTCCTTTTTTGTTTTGTCAAAAAAAAAAAAAAAAAAAAAAATTTGCTTGGTGCGTCCTCACAATATTACCCTTTTTTGTCATGTCCATTTTTATCCGCTACATTTTTTTTTTTGGTTACAGTCATCCCAAGTTCATGTCTTCCCTATCTTGTCAACATCTTCTCCTCTCTACAGAGCAATTCTAATTAGAAACTTTCTATATAATATATTTGTATGTATACACATACATGCAACTAGATAACTTGATTGAAATTGTAGTCCTTAAAATATTTTATTGCATAAAGTAAGAAACAAAATATGCTAGTGGAACTGTGGAAGGCCCTCATGATTTGTCCCTGGAAGTCATCACTGTGGTAATACTGCGTGTTATTGAAATCATTATATTTTTCAACCTTCAATCCTCTCAAGGCTTTGAAACAGCCAAAAGTATTTTAATAATGGATGCTATTGGTTATGTGTCCTTTTAAGACACACAAATAGTCAAGTGGTTCTTTATACTTTATAAACGTTGAAGTGTACTTGTAGAGAAGAATCCCTTGGTGTGTCCAAGTATTTTGCTTCTTCAATCATTTGAGTTGAGCACGTGGGATCAAGAACAGGATATATGGTGTACACACTTTTCTTAGGTCCAACCTGTCCTTAACTCTTGAATTGCTGTTTTGGAGCAATCTTTTGCACTATGTTACTTGGACTCGGGTGCGAGTGTCGGACACGGGTGCGTGTCCAAAGGTCGGATCCATCCATCTATCAAATTATAGGACACGAGGACACGGAATAAAAGTGTCCAAAAGTTGGACACGGACACTTGGACATTTGTAGAAAAAGAAAAAAATGTAACCTTTTTTATGTTAGACCTCAGTTTTTTAATGAAAAATTGAATAAATATATAAATGTAAAGATAGCAGCGTGGAGCCTTCAAAGCTCTATTTTTTTGTGATGCAGGTTTTCTTTTTTTCCTCTATTGTTGCACTTGTACCTGTTCTTACAGTTGTGGTTGCAACTGCAATGTGCTCCTGTGTGGGCCTGTTTTAGTTTTGTTTTTTTGGGCTGCCTTTGGGCTAGGACTTTCCTTGTACAGTTTCTTTTTTTTAATGAATGGATTTACTGTAAAAAAAAAAAAAAAAAAAAGGTAATACAACTATTATAATAATATTACCTTATTTATAAAGTCAACCTGTCAGGTCAAAAAAATTGCTTAAGATTGACCGATAGATATTACTTAAATAAAATAATACAGGTGTCCCAGTACAGTTGTAAATTGTTCATAGCTTAGTGTTTTACAACTGTTAAGACATTATCCTTGTTAAAAGACCAAACTCTCCCATATTTTTACATCCAAATTGACAAGTGGCATGATCGTGACCGTTGCAGGGTATTAAAAGCATTAGTAAGAATGTGAAAACACGCTCGGCCGTTACAAAATTTTGTGCAAACAAAGCGCGTACACTTCAGTCTTCTCTAACCTTTGAAAGACGCTACTTTTGAAGCAAACCGCCATTGTTGTACCAGTAAGTTCTCTGATCTCATTAATGGCAACCTATTTAACAAATAAAGCATGAAGAAAGTTCGCAATCCTTCACAAGTACCAACCCAAACATCTTTGTTTGAGTTTTCGTCATCTATCAGCCGTGTTCGGTAGACGCCATGAAGGATCCGACTCAGATCCAGTGTCTGTGTCCATGTCGTGTCGTGTCATGTCGACACGGACACTTCGGCCTGAACAGGCGAGTCCAGGTAACACAGCTTTTGCATCTCTTTTAAGTGTTGTGCCAAATTGTACTGTTTGTATCTCATTTTTTTTTTTATCCTAGTTGGGTACTCACACACACATGCCTCTATTGAGGCTTGAACCCCTGACCTCTTTTTGAGAAGTACGGGTTTGGTATCGCTAGGCCACTGGCCTGTTGGAACAATTATGAGGTTTGGCAGAGTTAGGCTGAGCTTGCCAAGCTATTTGATGTAAAGTTTATATTGTCTTGGAGCATGGTGCTGAATATAGTGAAATTTAATATGTCATTGATATTGGAATGATACCCAATCTTTTATATCTAGGTTAGCATGCAATTTTAGCCCGCTTACTATTAGTTGCTTGGTAGTGTTGAGCAAAGATGCTTTTACCTTGATTGATTTATCGTATAAGGAAATGTATTATATAAGGAATAAAGGCCATTTCCTAATGTGGTTCTCATTTGTCATGGGTGTTGGGATTGGTGGACTGGGTATACAAGGTATATACCTTTGGCTTTATTAGCAGCTTTGTCACCGCACCAAGCAATGGTCCTAACTATTATTCGAGTAATGATGCATCACTTTTTATTAATTCTGTAAGTAATTACACACTGCAGAAAATTTAAGTTGTATTTGAAAATGGGATTGACTAACAAAATAATTTTTATGTTCTATAAACTTTCTGTTAATCCTTGATTGCTTATCAATCTTCTGTGCAGACTGGCTTTAAAGACGACTCCTTGAGGATTATGAAGGCGATTGTTAAATGCAATTCTGACTGCCAGGTTTGTTGCACTTATCTGTTATTATGCTTCTTGAACTAGGTGATTTAATAATAAGCTTGCTTTTTGCACACCCACTTGTAAATTTTTTTAAGTTCTACTTTATGGTGTAATTGGAAAAATACGATCTTGAGTTCCCCTTTCTCTCTCTCTCTCTCTCCCCCCTTTTCCCTCTTCTCATTGGCTGGGTAAAGAGGCTCAACAATAGTAGAGTATTTGGATATATGGTAAAGCCTTCTCTGAGTTGGAAACAGTAGCCACGACTCTCAGTAGAATAATACAGATAGATAAATATACTGCTAGTTCACTTTGAACGCACTATGATGTATGACTACTTAGCTTGTTATATTTCATGTCAGAGACAGTTTGAACATTTTGTAGTTTGAATCTTGTTTTAAAAGTCCAAATGATGCTAGAGGGGGAGCTTAGCTTGAATTTTTACTTTTTGTTCTATGTACTTCTTGTCAAGACTACTTCCATCAAAACTCCTTTAACTAAAGAAAGAAAGAGGATGAACACTAAGTTCAATGTAATTAGTTAAGGCTCAATACACCCACTAGTTTCTACTTCCTTGTATTTTCATGAGGCTAGCGCAAATGTTTTTCAGTTCAAATGAAACATATATTGGACAATTGGAGAAACATTTTGGGCAACTAAGAACAATATATGCATAAAGCGAGTGTGATATAAATGCAAACTTTGAGATGGACATACGGCTAGACAAGAAATGATAGATTCGTGAAATGGCTAAAGTAGCATCAATTGGAGATGGAGAAAATCGATTAAGACGATTTGGATAAGTGTGCCAATTAGGAAGAATGACATGGTGGACATTGAAGGTAATACTAAGTGAAGGGGAAGTTCAAAGTTAAGTGGGTAGAGTTAGCAAGGTAGGATATGATAAAATGTGGTTTGACTTGGGCAATGACCTTAGATAGAGAGAGAAATGAAAAAATAGAATTCATGTACCCTCCCTCTAAGTTGTTAGGAAAAAAAGGTATTTTTGTTGTATTTTATGGAACATGTTTTTGATTTCTTAGAATAGGATTCTGGAAAAGAGGTGTTGACCTAAACTAAGAACGGTAAAACATGATGGTTTCTAGATCTGGATAGGAATATATATGCATATGTATCAATCATTAGGTATGGCAATGGGGCGGGGATTTCATTCCCCATCCCCGTTTAATTTTTCCACCCCCATGACTGCCCAAAACCCATCAGATTTTTCAAAGCAGCCTCCATCGCCATCCCCATTTACATAATCGGTTCCCCAAAACTGCCCCAAACGGGGTGTGGCCTCGCCAGGGTGATAATTTTGGTCATTCCTAATATATATACTTTACTCATTTTATTAATATATCATAATATGTAAGGGTCATTTAATAAATTTATAGTATATTCGGGGAGGGACAACCATCCCCTGAAACCGCCCAAAAAACCCGCTGGGTTTTTCAAATTAGACTCCATTCCCGTCCCCATTTACATAATCGGTTCTCCCATAGTTGTTAAAGGCTCAAGGCGCACTAAGGCGCCAAAGGCCTCCCGGAGCCTAAGCGCAAGGCGCAGTATAAGGCGCAACCTTGATCGAAGTAAGACGCGTGTAGATAATAATGCATATATTATTATATATATTCATAATCAAGCTGTAATTGCAGTTAATGTAAGTAATGGATCATAAATTTATGAATTTTGTCAAATATTTCATAAGGTTAAACAATACGGTATATGATATAGAACCTTTTAATTTAGTAGTCAATAAGAAAAAAAGAAAGTAATATGAATAAATGATTAAAAAATACAAGGCGCGCCTTTTTTGAGCCTGGAGCCTACTAAAAAGCGTGAGCCTGAGGGCTTTATGTGAGCCTGATTGAAGGGGCCTGGTCTGTAGTAGGTTGAGGCGCTCGAGATGAGCCTTGACGAGCCTTCGGCGTTTTTGGAGCTTATGCATGCCTTTAAATACTATAGGTTCTCCAAAATCGCCCCCAAATGGGATGGGCTCGGGGTGGGAATTTTTGCCATTCCTTTCTCTAGATATCATATACATGGTAGTAGAATAGTATTACAATGGTTGTTGGTTCAAAATAAATGGTTAGAATTTAATTTTAATATTTTAATAATAATAATAATAATAATAATAATAATATAACAATTCATTAATGATATTATTTGGGCCCGGATTAGATTGGGTTGTAAAAATCGGCTCGATGATGATTTTTGTTGCGTTTTGTTTTCATTTTTCTCTTGTAATAGAATATCATACCTGGACAATGCATATACCAATATTTTGGGGGGTTCTTAAAATAGAGGTGCTTATTTGGGCTTTTCTGATTATGTTATATGGAAAGAATTTTTTCTGCATGGAAACCCATTAATTGGACCACCCATTAATTTGAAAGTCTTACTCTAGCATTGGAGCTTTTACGGTGGTCTATCACCGATTGTGACCGAGAGAGTTGTTGATTCATAATTGCTCTAACAACATTAACATTGGAGCTTCTCTCTTGACTGCCAGCGGGAGCATGAATATTCTTGGTTGATGGGGGAGCTCTCATCGATCCTGACCTTGAAAATGTCTTTTTATCCCCAGAAAGAGAGATATTGTGTTTCCTCATTTGTGGTTCCGTCGTAGTAATGCTCATGAACAAATCAACATTTTCATTTCTTGTATTCTTTTTCTTCCATAATTTCAATTTTCTAAGCACTTTATCCAAACCTGCTTTGAATGAAGAAGCCATTTTGTTGCAAGAATGAACAAGGAAGAGGAAGGGAATGGTGGTATTATATAAACTGAATTCATGATTCTATTTTTGGAAAGATACTGGAATTGGAAAACTTATTCAAAGAGAAACTGCAGATTTCCAGAAGAATCAACTCTCTTCTCGGAAATAAGATTGATACCTTTTATTTATATGAGATGACCGAAGAAGCAAAAACAAAATAGAAGCAGATAATAGTGGACAAGTGATCCGAACCTGACTCCAATGGGTCAATGCAAGTTAACTCTAAATTTTTGCGAGTTGGCCACAACGACAATAAGGGCTTGTTAATTCTTACAACAAAATGGCTTTTTCATTCAAAGCAGGTTTGGATAAAACGCTTAGAAAATTGAAATTAAGGAAGAAAAAGAATACAATAGATGAAAATGTTGATGTGTTCATGAGCACTGCTATGACGGAATCAGAAATGTGGAAACACAATATCTCTCTTCCTGGGGATAGAGAGACATTTTCAAGGTCAGGATCGACGAGAGTTCCCCCATCATTCAGGAATATTCACACTCCTGCCGGCGGCCAAGAGAGAAGCTTCAATGTTAATGTTGTTGGAGTAATCATGAATCAACAACTCTTTCAGTCATAGTCGGTGATAGACCACCGTAGAAGCTCTAATGCTGGAGCAAGACTTTCAAATTAATGGGTGGTCCAATCAATTGGTTTCCATGTAGGAAATTCTTTCCAGATGAGAGAATCAGAAAAGCCCGGATAAGCGCCCCTATTTTAAGAAGAATCCAAAATATTGGTCTGTTACACGAGAAAAAAAAAACACAACAAAAATCATCATCGGGCCAGGTTTTTACAACCCGATCTAATCCGGGCCCAAATAATATCATTAATGAATTGTTATTTTGTTATTATTATGAAAATATTAAAATTAAATCCTAACCATCTATTTGATCCAACAACCATTGTACTACTAGTCTACTACCCTATATATGATACCCAGAGAAAAGAATGGAAAAAATTCGGGGGATGGTTGCCCCGCCCTATCCCGCCCCGAATATACTATAAATTTATTAAATTACCCTTACTTATTGTGATATATTAATAAAATAAGTTAAGTATATATAATAAGGATGACAAAAATTCTCATCCCAGTGAGGCCCCGCCCCGTTTGGGGTAGTTTTGGGGAACCGATTATGTAAATGGGGACGGGGATGGAGGTTGCTTTGAAAAATCCAATGGGTTTTGGGGCGGTTATGGGGGTGGAAAAATTAAACGGGAATGGGGAATGAAATCCCCGCCCCATTGCCATCCGTATGTATCATATTTGAGAGTTCCAAGATTCTAGATATTTCAGTATGGTACTTTTTGAAACGAAACTTTTTGATAGTTTTGTATTCAAACGGTAGTTAAGGGGAACCAACTGTTCTAACACCATTAAAATTCTATTATAGAACTTCATAATTTTATAAAATAATGTAGTCACAATATTTAATAATAAATGAAAATATATAATCATGCACATATGATGGATCTTGTTTCGATAATTTCAGATTTGATTTGAATGTGGTATCTGAAATGGCCAGTTTATTATGACTGGGATTAAAGTAGATGTAGTTCTCTTTTCAACAGTTGTGTAGGTTTTAAGATTACATCTTTCAATCCAGTTGTGATATAGAAGGATATGCTTGTTTCCCGTCGTACATGTCTTCTTCTATAGATTTTAAATTATGAATCTCGTGCAACTTACAATGTATTTATTTAATTGAATTACTTTAGAGCTTTTGGAAAATGATTATATCCCCTTCAATATCATTTCTTATTTGAGGGGAAAAATGAAATCCATGTGTGAAAATATATAGAACGAATAGAGATTTTTCTCCATCCAAAGTGACAAACATTTGTTCGTTTTTGAGAGAATGTATTTTATTTTTTAGGTTTGCTCCTTTTATTGTCCCTTTCTTTGTATTTCTTCGCTTTAATAATTCTCTTTCTTGTTAAAGCATAGAGAAAAAGGAGTTTATATGAGTGAATTTTAGTGCATTGTGGTTTGCTGCAGAAAAAATAAGTTGTTGACACATGTTTTAATTATTTAGAGATTGTCCTATTCTTCCCTTTATTAATGCAAATATATTTATATTTTACCATATTATATTATATTATTTTGGGTAAATTACACTGACCCTCCCCAAGAATTTCTTTGTGCTTTCACGATGGGACTGCATGCCTGACACCCTTCTACCTTTTGTCGCAAATTATTACCAGGTGCTTTTGTTTTCTGCAACTTTTGATGATGCTGTCAGGAATTTTGTATCAAAAATTGTTAAAGATCTCTTCAAGAATGATTACAATCAAATGTTTGTGAACAAAGAAGAGCTGTCCTCGGAGTCTGTGAAGCAGTGGTACAAGGTAAACTGCCCCGATGAACTTTCAAAGATAAAGGTAATTAAAGACAGAATTTTTGAATTGGGAAATAAGGTGGGGCAGAGCATTATTTTTGTTCGCACAAGAAATAGTGCGAGCATGTTGCATCAAGCACTTGTGGAACATGGCTATGAGGTGACTACCATTCAAGGTGCTCTTATGCAAGATGACAGGGACAAGATAATCAAGGAATTTAAAAATGGATTGATTCAAGTTCTTATTTCAACGGACCTCCTCGCCCGGGGTTTTGGTCAAGCAGAGGTGTTCATTTTTATCTCTTTTTACCTATTTTTTATTTTTCTTTTTATTGCACAAAATATCGACTTCATAACATGTTTTATTTCAGGTTAATCTGGTTGTCAATTATGATCTTCCTGTGAATTACGAAACTCCATCGGAGCCTGACTGTGAGGTATACTTGCATCAGATTAGCAGGGCAGGACGTTTCGGCCGCAAGGGTAAAGTCTCTCGACTTGTGGGTATCTTTTTTTTTTTTTTTCATCTGACTGTTCACTCGTACAAATACTGTTGACTCATTTGGTGAACTTTCCTCCTAGAGACATTCAGATTCATCACTGATTATAATTTCGTGTCTAAAAGCATAACATAGGTTCCTCGAGATACACCATAGACAAAGTACCATGCAATTGCTACATTAAGCTTACTGTGTTTGTATTATATAAATACGTTGGAAATTGTTATATAAAAATTTCATGCATGAAAATTTCTACTTGTGGGTAATGTTCTTTTATAGTAGCTGTAGAGGCTAGGAACTTGTTGAAGTGAGTGAAATTTTTAGTTGCATGTATAAAACCTGGTTTCTTTTTAGGGCCCATGTGTTTTGGCTTAGGATTTCAACTGAACTTGTTTGAGGGCTGCCCCCCTGTTGCTAAGAGAGAGCTAGGTGCTTAACTCGCTAAGAAACATTTATTTTGTTGGCCTTTATGTGCGAAAGTAACAATAATGAAAAGGAGTGTTACTATGTGTACAAGCAAGGGTCTTCCAGATCCTGCACAAGCTTTTTACCAATCAAGTAGTACCGTAGCTTTATCTTACTGAGGAAATTGGAATAATAAGTTTACTGAATAAGTGGCTTCAATGTGTAATTACCCTAGTTAGTAAAGTTGCGTGAGATACACGAAAGATACGCGAATTAAACGCATACCTACGAATTTTGGGAAAATACTCCCGTTTGCCGATCAGAGTTGAAAGATATGTTAAAATACGCGTTTTTTTTCATCATCCCGTATGTAACGTGTTTATTCGTTTTGGTTGCTCCGTTTAATTCGTGTTTATATATATATATATATATATATATATATATATATATATATATATATATATATTTTTAAATTTCGTTCACGTTTCTAATTGTGTATTTTTCTCAAACACACATTCTTTACACAATCTTTTGTTTGGTATAGCCCTTCTCTTTCACACCATCAAAATAATACTATTTATTGTGCAATCTCGAGAAAGGTTGTGACCACTCAGTTGTTCTATTATCACTCAATTTTTTTTTGTTATTATTGTCAATCCAATGCTTGATCTTTAATCGAAGTAATGAAACACATATATATACCTTGTGGAACACTATAATTTTGAAGAGTTATAGATTTTTACTGATGTTTGTAAACATTTATTTTTTTGTTTTGTTTTGAGATCTTTTAAATTTTTTTAGTATCTTTATTATTATTATTATTATTATTTTGGAAGTTTGTAAATCACCACATTCACCAGACGTTTTAATAGAATATAAAGATATTTTCACAAATATCACACCATATACTTATGCATTTATTATAAATATATTGGCTATCAAGGAAAAATGAAAAATAAAAAGGGGATGCATTTTGGGATCATGTTGAAACAAACTCTAACTATCATGGGAGTATTTCAGTAGTCAAATCACATTTATCCGGGGTAAAAGGTAGAGATATTGAAATTTGTTCAAGAGTATCCTAAGAGGTTCAAGCAGCTGCATTTTATTTTTAATTTAGGCAACATAGTTGATTAATTGAATTAGAATTTTTTTTCATTAATTTTGTGATGAATTGATCATATGGACCAATGGTTATTGATTAATTATATTTAGATAGTTTATTTCTGTTATGATTATTGTGATAGTGTTAATTGCAATATATTTATTTTATTATTGTTACCTATTATTCATTGTCCTTATAAATATATAATATATAAGAAAATAATAAGATGTGTATGGTCGAATTTTTGTTCCCGAATTTTTAGTGCATAAAACGTATTATATACGTACGCATCCGTATTCGTATTTTTACGTTTCTGTTTTTTTTAAACGAATTTTTTAAAAAATGGAAAAAAAAAAAAAGGGGATGCATTTTGGGATCATGTTGAACAAAACTATTACTATCAAGGAGATATTTCAATAGTTTTTTAAACGTATTTTAAAAAAAATATCGAATTATACTCGTGCATTTCCGTACCCGTATTTTACTTACTATGGTAATCACTGTTAAATATTGTTCAGTTGCTAATTTTTAAGGTGTTTGAACCTGCAGCTGTGATTGAGATTCTTCAAAATAAACTTTCTGGGCTGTGGGTGTCAATGTCATTTTTTTTTTTTTAATGGGCTGGGGTTAAATATCAAGTGTTGTGTTTTTTTAACTTCTGGGAAGTCCAGGTCTTGAATAATTTGTTTGACCGTCAGATCCTGGATTTGGAATGCTGAAATTATATTAACCTATGATTTTGCTCAGTCTTGCCTAAAAGAACTTCAGCTGAATTTTTGTTTTCCTGCATGCAATCCAGAACTTTGGGAGTATCTTTAGGTATGTGAGTTCCCTCTTTTGTGGACATTCAACGTGACCAGCCTGGCCTAACCAAAATATTGCGTGGAATTAAGGAAGAACTTCATATTGATTATCGTATTGGTTAGGATTTTTCTGTACCTAGGCTTCCTGGAGTCATGAATCTGCTTCTAGCTAACTGTCAAAGCTTCACAGGGTGACGCCAACCTTGTAGGTTGGATTTGTAGGCTTGTATATGAAATGAGGTCTTACAAAAAAAAAATGGTTCTGGTTTAAACATTTATAAACTCCAGCTAGTTGTTGGTGGCTTGTTTATTTTTTATGCTCTCCTTGTTCAAGTATAATACTATAATGTAATATTAGAAGATTTGAAGCCATTTTTTTCGTCTCAGAATGAAGTGCCAACTCCCTATTGCGCATTTGCTTCATTGTTGGTAGAGATATAGTCAAAGCCTCTAATGGAATATTAAGCAGTATTTGTTTCCTGTTTTGTATTTAATTCTACAGCAGCCGTATTCAACTTGTTGTGCTTTGATAGAGATATTATGCTAATGGAGAAGATAGAGAAGCACTTTAACACCCAAGTGGACGAGGTGAGACTCCTTTTATGACTTAAAATAATGTGGGGAGGATTATGGAATACTTTGGAATCCGAAACTAATTGTAAGAGTAGCTGTAGTAAGATTTTAAGTTGCATGTTCCTATACTTTTCTTGTAATAATACAAGTATAAATGTAGTAGTTGTAAGATGGGTATGAGAAACTTTGATATAGTTATATCACCACCTTATGTTGCTGCTATGTAACGCAGGTCCGGTCCTGGAACAGCGAGGAGGATTTTGAGGCTGCCTTAAAAAAAGCTGGTCTCTTTTAAAGATTGTGTTATTGGGAAGATTATTCTTCCAACCACATGTGGTTATTTGGTTATCTGGTAAATTATCAGTCCCCAAATCAATCACCAGTTTTTGGATGTTGGTTTTGGGTTTAAACAGAATTAGTTTTTGGATGTTGATTTTGGGTTTAAACAGATGATTGATCTTCTTGTTGTATATTGTGTGTTATTGGGAAGATTATTCTTCCAACCACATGTGGTTATTCGGTTATATGGTAAATTATCAGTCCCCAAATCAATCACCAGTTTTTGGATGTTGATTTTGGGTTTAAACAGATGATTGATCTTTTTGTTGTATAGAAATTTGAAGTCGATGTTATATAGTTTATTTGTTGACTACATTTGATCTAGTCTCTTCTATGTTTGGTTGGAATACAAGCCCATTGTAGAATTGATAGAACAGTAGTCGATGTTATATAGTTTATTTGTTGACTACATTTGATCTAGTCTCTTCTATGTTTGGTTGGAATACAAGCCCATTGTAGAATTGATAGAACAGTAGTCGATGTTATATAGTTTATTTGTTGACTACATTTGATCTAGTCCCTTCTATGTTTGGTTGGAATACAAGCCCATTGTAGAATTGATAGAACAGTTTCCCCCACATTTTTAAAAGTCATGTTTGCTATGCCACCTCCTCCCTTTATTTATTTATTATCTAATTCCATAACTGTTTTAGTGCTATATATTTTGGTTGGACAATACTTGGGTTCTCACCCTGGTTGGACTATGTACACTATCTGATTGCAGATGTGGATCAATAACAAATGAACATGATGCGAGTACTTATGTATTGTTTGGTTTGTGCACATGCTCCCTTTTCCTATAACATGTTGGTGAGGGATGATACCCCTGTACAACCATACCAAATGGCTTTATTACCCTTATAGTGATATTTAGTTATTAAAAATCAAATTTTATATACTGTTCTTCCATCTCTTTATATATATATATATTGCTATTGCTATACCAATTTAAACTACAAAATGCCGTCTTGAATTATAAATTTGTTGTAATTAAGGATAAATTTTTTACAAAAGACTGTTAAATTAACATTTCGTATTATATTTTTTTATTATCTCTTATCTAAATATTAATTATACTAAAATAGAAAAATATAAATTGATTTGAAACTACATTTTTCTAAAATTATTAATTTATTATTAAAACTTTAATTTTTATAATAAGTATACTTCGTATAAAAATTCCTTATTTTTCATGCAATATATCAATGAAAAAAATTAATAAAGTACTAAAAAAAAATGCTTTCTTTTTCGTGCAATATATTCATGAAATTAAGAAATTACTTAAGTTGTTTTAAAGTTTTTTACTTAGAATTTTTATTTAAACAATTAATATAAAAATTAAAGGTAATTAGTATATCTTTCTTCATAATTTGTTTTAATAAAAAAAAAAAAATTAAGTAAAATTTAATAAGAAAATAGTATTATGGTCATTTAATAGTAAATATGTGACGACCCGAAGTTTAAAGAATCCGGTGCGTTAGCGAGTAACTCGAATACTGATTCGATAACGAATCCCAAACACGGAAGCAAAAAAAAAGGGTAGGGTCTCTAGAGATGGATACCACATCTAAGACGCCAAAGTGACTTCTCGAGAAGTCACGAGACTTGAAAAGAAACAACGCGGAAGCAAAGTGCCACATCAACCTACATGTTTAAAGTGACCAAAAAATGTATTAACAAGGATAATATATGACGTACTAATCATATATGGACATTTGACAAGATTCTAGACCTAACGGAAAAGATGGAACAAACGACGTTTCCCCGGTTAAGAGATACCGTCACCATGTTTCACTAAAACTGTTATAACTCTCATCACGGTTGGAGTTTCTCTGTGTGGTTGGTACCATTGGAAAGCTAACTTAAAGCTCTTGAAAATGGACTCAAGAATGACCTAATTTGGACTAGAAACGAATGAGATATGGCTGTTCAAAGTCTGCGCAACAAAGCTGTCCTAGAAATTGAAAAGATGCTGAATTTCAAGGAGGTTCAGCAGGCCGAACTTGAATGTTCAGCCAGCCGAAACCCCATGTTCAGCTGGCCGAAATGGCCTATGAAGAAACAAACTCTCGGGAAATGCCTAAGAAAGGCTATCAGCCGACTGACAGAAGTTCTCAACAGATTGATGCACCAGAAAACAGCAAAAACAGGTCTACTGCAGACATGGAAAACTTGGCTCGGTCCATTTCTAATCCTATACATGCATCCCAAGTGTCCCAAAACAGATTTTAAAACATCTCAAGGTGTCATACAACCTCCCATAACATGAAAAATCAATGAAAGTGTGTGTAACATGCTTAAGTGCACAATTTAGCCAAAAAACGTGCAAATTCCAAAAAATGGTTCCAAGGCCTTAATTTAGAATTTTGTGAGTTTGTGAACATACCAACAACCATAATATACATATTGAAATGAGCTACAATGGCTTACGGCCTCATAATATGTCAAATATCCAAAATCATGTTCCAAAGGTCCATAATCACAAAACTACATCAAAATAAGCATGCTAAACATTTTGCATGCATTTAAAAGGTGTGTACATCCATGACATAAGTCCACAACAAACTAGGGATGATGTGCATCCAAGAATAACACTTCTTTACCTGGAAATACAAAATCAACTAGGGTGAGTAATTTGAATTACTCCGTAGAATGAAGCATATGTGTATAACATAAAGTTTCAAAGGCCTTTGCAAGTGTAATATAAGCAACTTCATGTGGATCATGCCTCCTAACGTTTAGGTTTCATGGTGAAACTAAGGGATCATCCTAGACTAACTTGAAGCATTTTAACTAGAATTCACAACACAAGAGTATACTAAGCCAATTCAAGGATATCAAAACCAAAACCACAAGTTACAATTATAAATTGGTTGTCAACTTGGAATTAAATTACAAAATCACATAGTGGAATATCTTGGACATCAAATCCGGTTATGCAAACACAACCAAGACTAAGTAAGTTATTTCAGGCCATTAACCAGCCGGGAGCCACCCAAGTATGCACTATACTGGAGAGAACTCGTACCTCCTGCACTAGAGCCAGACTCTAGCCATGTCAAAGTAATAATGCCCCAAGTATTTCCAAAATCAACAAGGATGTCAACTACTTATACATAAGTATACAATGCACCAATCACTTTCCATGCACAAGGAGGGCTGAAACCACATAGTCCATGTCTTAGGGTTTCAAGACTAATATGGCATGGAAATGTCAAGTTCAAATCATGGATAAGCTTACACTAAAATCATGAGTACAACAAGAATAATCAAATCGTGCAAGTATTGTAAGCCTTAACCATTTAGTCCAATAACCATATAGTATTCCACAAGCCTAAAATGATGTAAATGGCAAGGGAGAAACAAGTATACTACAACTACAATACTATGAAAATAATTGAAGTATAACAATTCACCAATCTATACAACAAGCTTTACAAAACATTAAGTACACATATGCTTTAGGTAGTACACAATTCTAAATCAAGAAAATGAATCTCATACATATACCTACACTAAAACAACATGCATACAATATATATTAACTTCAAAAACACATTAAAACACTAAGGTTATAAACATAAGACGATCGCTACCTCACTAAAGATAAGATTCTCTAGAATCCAAAGTGATACGACGTGAGTATGTGTGCAAAAACATGCACACTTTTAAAAATTGTGTTAATTGGGTATCATCTTTTAAAATTTATATAAAAGCCAATCAACCCTAATACAATGAAGTATAGTGTGTGAAGGGATCGTCCGCAGGGATTAAACACGTATTTGGAATCAACTTTGACCTTTAATGCTTAAGAGATTGCAAAAGAGAGTTGGTTTGGTGATTTAAACTAGAATTTGATTAAAACACTGTAATGTAAATTTAATGTTAAAAAGTATAGTCTAAAAGATTGAAGAGAAACTTAGGGTATAGAACTTACCACTAAGCATATTCCCTAAACCAAATGCATTCAACTAATTAGGGAAAAATCATATGTAATCTAAATATGGCTACAAATTGCAATAAAAAGCATGGACATCAATTTCAAACATGAATTGTCTACTTAATGACAAGTAAACTAAGGTGTAGTGCAATTCACTAAGTCAAAGAATGATCCATCAATTCAATTAACAATTTAAGCACATATTAATCAAGAAGATAATGCAATTTGCAATAATTAGCATGGATATCAAATACAAGTATGGATTTGTGATACCCCTCGGATCCGAGACACGGGTTGATCAGGCCCAGGCCTAAACTCGAGGGAATATCAAACAATTAAAGTATTTTAAAACGAACACAGATGACAAAAAGAACAATAAAGATAGAATAAAACTGAAAGAAACATTAATTATAAAATCCTCCATGTACAACTGAAAATTGAAACTCCAATCCTCCAAAACTTCAAGGTTACAACTTGGGAATCCACTAATGAACCCCTAACCAAAAGTTCAACTGAAACTGAAAACTGAAAATAGATAATGCTAGAAATATCGAGAAAAGTCCTACGTAATCAGATGAAGGTGAGACTGTCCTCGACAAGCACGATCAAGCTCTAAGGCTGGAACCGTCCTGTACCTAAAAAGAATAATAAAGGAGTGGGTCAAACCCACGAGCAAGTTCTAATCTAACTGCAATCCATACAGTGACCCGATACGCAGATACACCGTAGACACCTCACCATATCTATCTAGTCCATACGTATAAATATATCCACACTAAGGGACATTCACTAGTCTATAATAGGGGTCTCAACCTGAATAGAAGGCAACATGCGAATACGCACCCAAAGGTGGGCATGAGTACCTAGACCTAACAGGGTACACCTCAACCTATTATAACCAGCTACGCATACACTGCATATACGCACCCTAACCAACGAGTCTGAGACTCAAGCTCAACTCGTGGTACCATAAACATATATATAAAGTCCGTCCAAATCCAGGGTAAGCAGTTCAACTATTTATTAAACTGACATACAATAAGCCAACTAGTTAGTCACTCAACTTATTAAGTTGATATGACTTAACTACCATCCCTTAATCCAGGAAGTCATCCAACTTGGTTACAACTGGTCTGACTTAGTCACAATTAGGATTCGATATCTTTCAATCCATTCCATTAATCAATTAGGTTAGGTTTATGCGTTTTGAGCTAAACCGTCCCTAATATGTCACCGTCCCATACCGATACATACAATCCTCCATATCCATGTAAATTACAACATATATAACAGTTCAATAATTTACAGACCAAAAACCACCATCCAATACTTGCAGAAGGAATCTTAACAATCTAGCAAATAAAATCCAGTAATA